TATATATATATATATATATATATATATATATATATATATATATATAAATAGCGTTCCACATCTTTGTGACGTCATAGGAAATAATTGGATGGGATTTGGATGAGGTAGGAGGGGAACCAGGATTCTTCTCAATATGAATAACCAGAAAATTTTTACTGAAAAATTTGATAGTCCTTATTTGATTGAAATGCATAATTTCTCTGGATGTGAATGAATTCGTGACCCCTTACAATTTTACTGCTGAATTCTTCTGGGTTCATCCGGTTGCTTTATTCCTCCCGAAAAATTTGAAACATCAAGTTTTGTGGAATAATCAGGGTAGTAGGTGAACTCCAAAAAAATAACTGGTTTCCACAAGCGTGAAAAAAAAATTCGTGATATGAACTTGAATAACCGCAAAATAATGGCAATTCAGACGAGTCGTCCCTCGACCGCTTAATTCGGTTTAATTTCACGTAGTTATAGAAAGTATTCCAATACCCTCTCGGATCCATGACCGAGAATGAGGAAATTAAATAATATTATGAAGTGAGTGAGTGACAAATGCCCAGAGGTCACATTCCATCTGACCCACATTCCAACTTCACATTTTCCCCACTTAAGCAGTCATCTCCTAGGTATTTTACCCACACCCTGGACTTCCTTCTTCTCCATGTCACTAGTTCAAGGTCGATGTACGTAGGTGTGGACGACGGTAGAGAACGATTGACTTCTGGGTCGTGTTTTTTAGTGGCGCTCATCATGGGAGTGTTTCTTTATCGATGGAATTCTTCTCTCATTCAATGCTAAATCTCACCGGAATGGATGACGACATGTGAAAGTTCACTTGACCTCAGATGTTGAGGGTTTCAGTGTGGGAAATTGTATCTTTCCGCGGTGGGGATAGGTATATTCCACAGACACGTGCATATCGCTCAATGTGACCTCAAAAAAATTACGTTTTTATTTATGGGAAAATATACGTTGCACTTGTAACGGTATGATATTGACAAGGAGATAAGAACATATGGAGGGATTTTTGTATTTCGTAGGAAAAATATTGTATTAAGGATATCCGGGTAGTTCGAGCAATTTTTTAGGGGAAATCCTCTTCAGAGATTATAAAATAGAAAATAGTATATTTCAGCACGTGTGGGGCAATTTCGTCTTTAACGTGTGTGGGGTTTACAGCATGAGCCGAAGGCGAGTGATGTAACCACACACGTTAAGGACGAAATTTCCCAACAAGTACTGAACAATATTTTATATCACGAAGCCTGAAACCGGCTGAATTACACACGAGACGCGAAGCGTCGAGTGTGTAATCCAGTCGGTTTCAGGCATGAGTGGCCTAAAGAGTATTTTATATGATACGTGCGTGTAACCGCATGGGTTTTAGTTGACTATAGTCAATAACAAGGAAGGAAATCTAACCTCCGAATAGTGAATACATGGAATGACTGAAAAATGAAAAGGTGATTTTCGAAGCAGATAAAATGAGCCAAAATCGTATAATTCCTGATAGTGATGAAGAGTTAGGCAGTGAGGAGAATTTATTTACTAATGAGGAGGAGTTTATTGGTGATGTGACATTTGAAGAAAATGAAAATAAAATATTCTCCAATGAAGCAACAGCAGGATCGCCAAAAACTCCGTAGAAGAGAATCCGTTATGATGATTTTGATAACAACAACGAACATCTTCCATCAGATATTTTAGCAAATGCCCAAAAGGCAAAAAATCAGACGCTACCAACAACTTCTATAGAAAAAAATAACGTTTTGTATCATATTTTTTTATAATTATAACTTTCTTTTTTTTGCGAATTCTTAATGATTTTTAAAAATTGTATTTTGTAATTATTATAATTAATTTTTTTCAATTAAAAATACTTTACAAGTTTTTTGAACTACATATTTAATGAATATAATTAATTTTTTCTTCAGAAGGTCCGCATAATTTTTAAATCACACTTTTTTATAATTATTTTTTTAAATAAATGTGATCTTTTTTCTTCAGTGGGGGGGGGCTTCGCCCCCTGGACCCCCTTTTCTCGTGGGGGGCTTCGGCCCCCACTCTCCCCCCCCCTCCGCCCCCAGACTTCATCACGCTCTTATCATATAAAATAATATACTCAACACGTGCGGACAGCAGGCGGTATCATTCGGGCGGCTGCGCCGCTCTCGTGAGTAACCGCCTGGTTTCCGCACTAGTTGCGTAATGTACTATTTTAGGTGCAATGTGAACCTTAGTTTCCGAACATTTTTCCGAGAAAACGATTTTAAAAAATATGTAATTTACACATTGCGTCTATAAGATCTGTATCACTCCTCACTCCTTCAATCCAATAGTTCATATCAAGAGAATTCAATGGAAATAAAAAGTCGAAGCTCGTCTATCGCGCAAATGCGCGTATTAAGATATTTAATACGTATGAAGGCACTCCTATTAAGATATTTATGGCAGCGAAGTCATGTAGAAGGTGATACGGAGGTGAATTTAATTGTTCTCTCGCAGAAAACCAATCCCTGAACGAAAAAAAACAAATTTCAATTACAAATTTTCAATCTATTTCGACCATTTTTGTGTTCGAAATATTTTTTTAATAACTTTTCTATTTTTCCCCCATATTTCAAGACTTGTTCTATTTTTTTACCTTGTCTTTTGCATAAGGGGAAAATAATTAATATGGAACCGACTGTAATGGTTAGGTGGGTGAGGTGTTGCTCCGGCGGACATCCAAGCTAAGCAGCGTTGAGCTGGGTTATACTGGCGACCACAAGCGTCTGGTCTTCGGGTCTAACCCCGAGCTCTCCCCACCACCGTGCACGCATGCGCAATGCGTGCACGGTGGTGGGGAGAGCTCGGGGTTAGGCCCACTGATCTCTATATAACTGGATAGCCGATCCCTATGGCAGCCAGTGAGTTTATTAGAGAGGTACGCAGCGCCTCCGGATAGTAGTCAGCGAACTAAGATTCTCTCTAGTGCGCATGTCCGTGTCAGCTGCAGGTAGTGGGGCAGTGGTAAATTTACCGAGAGCATTGGGAAATATTATAGGATATTTTACCGTGTAGGACATCCAGAATAACAGACGAACTTTTGTTAATAATGAGTGAAAACTGACATTGTCTATACACGCGAAAAGAAGTCGAAGCATGGAGGAATGTCGAAATTAGTACAATTGTTATTAATATTGTATTATTAATGAATTGTATAATCGTTAATAATTGAAAAAATTGAATTTTTAAAAACTACAAAGAATCGCCAAAGAATGTTATTAGATTTTTTTAATCGTAATTTTTTGCTAGATTTAATTGACGTTTTAGTTTTTTCAAAAAATCAATTTTGAAAAATCAGGATTTAACCCACTGTCTTATGTCAAAGTCCATAACTTTGTTGTAGAGCAAGATTGAAATCGGAATTTTTAACTCAAAATATGAAAAAAAATCAAGAAATTTTTTGACACATGATACAACATGAATGACCGTTTTTGAAACAATATCCATTATTTATTTATAAAACGGAGATGTTTGAAAAGAAAATAATATGTTGAAAAATGTAATTTGAATGATGCTGGTTGTGTATGAATTTTTTATAAATTTTCTCACGTAATTTAATGGAAAAATTTAATAATTGAAAATCTCGACATCTATAGTGTGGTCAGTATGAACTTGTAGCCTACTGATGAGCTACTTTAAGGAAATTAATGTATTCAGGAAATTGGGAAACTCAAAATAAATATTCAACTGAGTTTATTCGTTCGAAATTTTTTTGTATTTATTAAACTATAATACACCTAGACTGATCGGAATTTATTGATTGAGTATACTATACTAATTTTACCTTTTTCAATTATTATTTACAATTTGGGACGGAGAATGTTTCCACGGCAATTTTCCGAGCACGTGGCTCCCACTGCGGCGTGCATGCGCACTGACGTCATCTTTAGTACCTGAGCTACTGTACGGCAGCGCTGGCTGACACTTCAATTCGCCTCACTTTGAGAGTGGTGGGAGCATAGGGATCAGCTATCCAGTTATATAGAGATTAGTGGTTAGGCCCGAAGACCAGACTCTTGTGGTCGCCAGTATAGTACTTGGATGGGTGACCGCTTAGGAACACCTCGCTCGCACAAAAATTATGGACGGTAGGTACGGTGTAGCGGCCTAGTGTCTCCATCTAGTCAGTGTGACAGATGGATATATTAGGACACTGCACAAATCGGCCGGCTGTGCGACTGGGGTTTTACATGGTTTCCCGTGCAGTCCTAGCTCGAATGGGGCACAACTAAGAGTAAGACGGCCATGATACCGCAGATAACAATGAGGGAAAAAAGAAAGGAGGGGAGGCAGGTTAGAGGAGGGGTTTCAAATTGAGAACTACTTCGATAAAACCAATGAAATAGAAAAATAAAAAAATTAATATGGATAGAGAAAGTGACAACGTTGTGTTGTTCGAGGTACAAGTTGGCAGCATTGATTCACTCAGCTGTTATGTTCCTTCTCATGACGAAATGTATCATTACAACTCCATTCGTATTTGCCGCGCTTACCCCTCCACGATTTCTAACCTCGACGTTGTTGTTTTTGCAAGTTGCGCACGTAGAATTCCTATTTTTCATGAGTTTTTAAAATTATCCCTTCTAAACAATTCTCCTAGGCCATTTGGATTATTTTTTGTTTCTGTTCCTTCCTGAAAGCTCCACCCAAGTGCAAAAGTTTAGGAAAATGGCGAATTTTTTTCTATTTTTGATATTTTCCCTCCGAATTCTCATAAAAGCCCGTGTTAAAATGCATTTTTTTAGAAAAATTCCTGTATTTCACCCATTCTCCTAGGCTATCTAGGATTTTGCATAGGGGTTTTCAAAAGATCGAACACGGAGAGAAATTTTTGGTAAAAATTACCCTTCCAGAAGGATAAACGTGTATTATTGAAATTTTTCGTCTGATTTATATCCAGAAGTTTGACAAAAATTGATGTTAAATAATAAAATTTATCATATGTAAAATAAATTTTACCCTTCCGGAGGGTAATTTTCGCCGAAGGGACCAAAAATTGTCTATACATTTGTCAAAATGTATATAGACAAAGACAAAAAATATCTATGTGAATGATAAAAATTATAGTTATCCTGGTAATTATTATAAAATTCATATAATAATTTCTATTCACCCAATTCTATTAAATTATCCCCATGTGCGCATCAAAAACTAACCGGATGTGCGCGACACTTTTTACCCTTCGAAATAATGAATTCTACCAGTAGATGTACAACCAAGGATATCTTCGAAACTAAGGGAGATAGCGAATTTTCCTCGAAAAATTGGGGGTAGAAGGGGGGGAGGGTGGTATATCGAGAATTCTTGGTAAACAACTCCCCCCTTCCCTCTCAAATTTTTCAAGGAAAATTCGCTAGCTCCCTTAGTTTCGGAGATATCCTTGAAAAACTCACCGCCGCGCTAANGGGGGGGGGGGGGGGGGGAGTTTGTCAATTTGTAAATTATTTTTTTCTCTGTGCCTCTCTCTAATGCAATGCGTGCAAGAGAGAGGCAGATTCAGCCAGGCTACCCCCTCTCCGTCATTAAACCTCAGTCCGAACCTGCGTGGTGCGTGGAAGAGATCTGTAGGTAAGATTAGTATTTTACCATCCTGGAACAGTAATTTTTATCCAAGATATTTGTAAAAACTACCAAGATATGTAATAATTTTTATCCGCGCGTACTGGCAATTTTTACTCAGATAAGAACAAATATTATCCGGAAATGTTCATTAAAATTTATCCACACGAATGATATTTATTGCTCCAAAAATACACTGCTACAGAATTACTCTTCCATCCGGGTAATTTTTACCTGGATTGCACGATAATTTTTACCAAAAATTTCCCTCCGTGAAGAATGTATTAAAAAAATTATTAATTTCTTAACTTTTTTTCGACCTTTTCTGACTACGCAATAAATACCTTAACATTCTCCCTTTTCCACACTTGCTGGATCATACTGGGTCGATGTAACACAAAAAATCCAAAATTTAAATTTGAATGATTACAAAGCTTCCATTCGGAAGCAGTAGAAAACTATTTACCTAAGTCAGACATTTTTGACTTTTACCAATATTTTTATAGAAAAAAAAAACAGATAAGCTACGGATAAGCTCCTGAAGATAAGAGTTAAATAGTTTCTTTGGCGAGAATAAGGTATTTGTAAATTGGCTTGACAAGAACGATTTAAACTGGTCCTCCAAATCAATGGGAATTTCAAAAATTTTCTGAAAATGTCCCTTTTCTACAAATAAATTGATCAAAGATGTCAAAATATTTCACGTCGAACATGATTTTTCTTTTATCAGGGTAACATTCTTCCCTGAACCCCGCAGCGTCTCGGAGATATTTACGAAACATTGAAAAGGCATATTTTCTCTTTTCACAATGTAAAACGTTTTGTTGCATTGAGTAGTTTCTTTCCCCAAGCCATAAATCTCCGGTTTCCTCGCGATATCCATGCACTCCCAGTTGCATAATTATTCAAAATATTCAGACTTTCAAAACATGTAAATTTTGGTATTAACGCCGGTGACTGGGATATGTTAGATAGTAATTTTCAATGATAAAAATTTTTTATGGACATCATTAACTTATTCATTCAAACAGAAAACGAGACACATGTAGAGAGGATCGAAGACAGGGTCTATCCATTGATAGAATACCACGAGCCTTAACCAAAAAGAATGTTAATCGCTGACTAGACAAGATGTTGAACAAGTGGAGAGAATGTCTTTCGAGACAATCTGTGTAGGACAGTCGAAAATACACTCAGGGACATTCTGTTTCCGTTGAGATTCATTGTGAAATGAACTTGAAGTTTGTATCAGAGTTATGAGATTATGGTGATATACATGGCGGGACAGGTGCACGGAGAAAAATAAGTCGAGACTAAGCCTCCAGAGACAAAAAGAAAGATTTCTGGATGCATTGCTCTATACCAGGATGTATTGAATCGACCGAAACAAAATTATATCCACAAGTGTGAATTAATAATACGAGTTAGTAACGAGAATCTCAGATGTTTATTCTACGTTTTACGTGTGTTACGGAACGCCACATTAATTCTTAATTGAAAAAATGAGAAAATTGCGAATATCTCGAAAACTTTGAATAAACGCATGGAGAGAAATATTCAATAAAAATTACGGGTCAATTCACATAATCCGTAATGGGGAATCGTTTTCCGGCAATGTTTATAGGAATGAAAGAGAAGAAATCTGAAACGTTCAGTAAATTCTCACGTTCATCACCGAAAAAAGTACGAAATTGTCACGTAATTTTTCTCGAAGAGGTAAAATCTTACAGAAACCTCCCGACTTATTATGCCTCCAAAATCAAAAATTTTTGAACGTTTAACAATTTTTGTGAAGCTAGTGAGTTATTTCTACGTTCCGTTCCGTAAAATTTCTCATTCGTTGGGGAAAAATTACGGAACGACTTGTTGTCTCCACAGCGGTGAGTCATCAGACGCGTGGTTAATTTTTACGGAACAAATTGTAGAATTTACGTGGCGATTTGTACAATTTCACTTCCGACTGACACTTTTTATTGAATTTTATTTCGCTCACGGATTACGTTTCAAGACGTCCGTTTTATGTTTTTTTTTTTTTTGTAATTTTTATTAAATTTTTTCTCTCCGTGCGGGTATTCATATTTGAATTGATCGTGATAGAGGGCAGCAGAACGAGTATTGCGGAAAAAAAATTAAAATTAATAATCAGTAGTGATGCCGCAAGACAAGACAAGACAAGAATTACGTATTTCTTGTCTTGTTTTGTAATTTTAGGGTTTTTCTCTTGACTTGTCTTGTTCCAATTGTCAAGAGAAAATTCGGCTCTTGTCTTATTGGATATGAGCAAGAGAACGAAATTCTTGTCTTGTCTTGCGTTCTCTTGTGCACCTCGACAATTTTATTTTTCAGTTCCGTGAGATTAATAAATTGAGTATTCCTCGTGTGGCTCGTATTGCTCATGATTAGATGACAATTAGTGCATCCAGTATTCCTTCAGAACGGTTGTTTTCAAAAGCTGGTCTCATCATCAGAAAACATCGGAGTCGATTGAGTAACAAAAATGTTGAGTACTTGTTGTGTGTGAATTCATGGTTCCCATCTCCACTAGCTCCAATAATAAAAGATGTGCTATTCGAGAAGAAAGATTAAAATAATCGAGGAATACATAATTCTTCACAATATTCAGGGATATATAAAGAGTTATTTAACAAAATGGACTTATATTATTGATGACTTTCGAGTTTTTACCGAATTTTTTGATTAATTATTTTTCTCTTGTTCCATATCTCTTTTTTTCTCTTGCCTCTTCTGAACTTCCCTTTTATCTTGTCTTGTCATTTTTACCAAGAGAAAAATCTGTCTCTTGTTTCGTCTCTTGCAGCAGTACTCTTGTCTTGTTTCTGGCGCTCTTGCGGCATCACTAATACCAGTTGTTTGGGAGATATTGAATAAAATAGCGTTTCTCTGCGTAAGTCGTTCATTGTAATGAGAGTAAATGAATTTACAATGCCCGAAAAAAAAAATTCATCATTGATAATTTCTTATATAAATTCTACCTTTGATGAGTGTGAGAATTTACTCTATTTTTAAGATTCAACAAGATTTATTAACATGGATAAATATTTACAAACAAGACAAGACAACAATATGATACAAGTTTATACATACAAAATTGATTGGTATAGTATCAGCCCGGAGGCTACAACATTGTATAACATGAGGGGTGAGAAATAGGTTAACAATATGAGGGATGGGGACAGGGAGGAGATGCTGGATAGAGAAAATTTTTTTATATTAAAAAGCCCTATTACAATTTCCTCTATGAAATTCTCTGACAACTATTTTCTTAAATAATAGTCTTTTTTCGTTTGACTATCCAAAACTTGAAACTTCATATTCATTTTCCCCCAATTGAATCCAATGTCACGCTCATGGAACTTACAACGAGATTGTCTGTGGAATGAAATTTTTTTCCACCAGTGTAACTGAAAAAATGCCCAACAAAGATGTTGTTTGACATGTCCTCGTCGAGACAATCCCACATATGACAGAACTCCCAACTCAAACCCTAGCGCATAACCAACATTAATGAATTAACCCTCCTGAACTGGCGCGTAGAGCGGCGCGCCGCCGCCAACTGCTCAACCTATAGGGCGCCACTGCAGTGCAAGTGAGACGTAAGAGATCTAGCCAGTTCAGGAGGGTTAATGAGCTAAAAAACATTCTTCTAAACAAGTTTCCCATCGCCTCATTCGATGCGAATCTCTCTTTATTAATCATTACTAATATATTAATGACAGTTGATAGAATGACCAATACTTAGCCGTCATGGAAATAGAAACTCTCATGGGTCCCGTGAGCCAACAGGCCCACTAGTAGGCGTAACGCTAATTTTTATCTCTTCGAATCACTCAGCGACGAATTTGGCCGCAAACGATCGCTGACTTTCGAAATGGCCCCGGGGGTAATCATCTGGAAAGAAAAAAATAACAGTCAACTCAAACGTAACACACTCACTTCGCGATCCACATGAGTTAATAGCATATACAGAGGGGGAAAAAAAAGTAACGAAATGTTTCACGAATGTATGTATGATGGTTGCGTTGAAGCGTGACTGGGGCACAATCTCCATACGAAACTCCTTCGCTGTGGATTTCTCAAAAGAAGTGGAGTTTCGCAACAACGCTTTATACCACCCGATAATTACCAATACCGATACTCCACCGGTACTCCACCATTGTAACGAATTTTCCACTCGAGTGACTCACTGGAACGCTTGTCTTCACCATATATTTGGAATGCAGGAGGGACTGAGAGGTTGAAAGGTTGACGACGTGGAAATGTTTGTTTTGTCGAGGAATTTTTGGGAGGAATTAAGACGGAATTTTTCGGTGTTTGCGCTTTGGGGTCGGGGTATAATGTCAGGGGGCTGATGTGTGTGCAGTGGACACTCCCTATGATTTCGCTTCTCTAAGATTCCAGTTGAGAAAGTTGACTTCCCCCACTATCAAGAATCTACCCACATGGAAAAAATATATATACAGAAACATATGTCACTTATATCCGCTTATATGTGGTATATTTTCCGGCAAAAAATGCAATATTTGAGATATATGTTGGATATATGTGTGTACATATATGCCACCGGGTATACCTAGCATATACATGGTATACAAGGCGGATACATTCAAGATATAATTCCGGCAAAATCACTATATCTCACTTATAAATTTTGGCTTATATTTTTTTCTATGCGGGTAAGTGTGTGGGCTCCTCTGCGCGACGGGAGTGCGCAGTAGGACACTGGCGGTACGCCAGGATTGGAACAGACAGATTCTCTCTCTGTTTTCCTTTTTCCTCAGGGAAACCATCCACTGTTAGCAAATTACTCCTGAAATTTCAAGTAAAAAATCTTGAAATTTCTAACAATCACTCATTCACACGAAATTTTCATGTATTTTGCTATTGGAAAATGAATTGAATTCTGGAGTATTCAATGGAACTGCAATTTTCCGATCCGCATGATGACGAAAATTATTAAATGATTTGAAAATTCAAGCAAACAATTGTTCAATTTTCAAACAAATTTAACAATGGTCTTTTCAAATTTAACGTATGAGCAGGGGCTTTCCGATATTTTAAGGTATATATATCCCTAGAAAACTGCTATCTCTTACGATTGTCCCCATGTTTTCCATAGATAATGTTTATGATATTCGCCAGATATTCAAAAAAAATTCTAACTACCTGCACTACACAGTTCATGAGATAATAAATAATGAAATATATAGGCCACACGGGGATTACTGAATTTCTAAAAATGCAATGAAATTACAAATTTGTGAATAGCATTGAGATAAGAATTCCTCAACCCGTTTAAATTTTCGATGAAATCATGAATATTCAGTGTCGAATTACTATGAATTTTCATTGATTTGAAAATTCAAGAATATATTTACCGGAATTTTTCTCATTTTTACTAATTTTCACGGAATAATTGAACTAAAATTTACAGCTTTCATGGATTTTTCCACGAAATTCCGAATTTTTGATGACGAAATTCCTCGAAATTTCAGTTTTAACAGTGCAGATTTCCAAAATATCTCACGATGTCTCTGGAAATTTGTAATAAAATCACTGAATTGTTAGACTTTGGCACTGATTGAATTTCGCAATCGCGAATCCCCACAAATTGGGGATAGATTAAAAAAAAATAGGATAGGTACCTGACGATCAATAATATGTCCTTGAAAATCAAAATTTTTTGAGATCGCTTAAATAAAAAAATCCTGAACAGGTTTTATAAAGATTTTTCACTCGAGTAAAAAAGTAGAATTGTTTTTCAACGAATTGATTTCTTGAGGAATTTAAAATTTAGTCATCTCCAAGAAATATTTCTTGAAATTTTGTGCTAAAATCAAAGTGATTAAATGACTTAATTCTCTGGATGTTTCGATCAATCCCATGAGAATCAATGGATCCGTCTGAGCTGCAAGGAAAAACGTTCTCTGGTGACAATCAATTCCCCTGAAGTGAATGACGAGTCGACAGGAAAAAACCGGTAGGGGATAAAAAAATACCAGTATAGAAAAAAAAATCTTCCAAAAAATTCTATTCTCAGCAATCAACTTCACGAATAAGGCAATTAGTGCATGTAACTTATTCAAATTGCGTTATCAGGCGTCATCTTATCGCCCACTAATTAATTGAACCCGAAATTTCCACAATTCCTTTCAAATAAAAATGAAGAAATATTCTCAACTGTCGCTTGAAACAATACATACACATAACCTCCCGGCTCCACATGATAAATAATTGGAAGCCTACAATTACGCTCGATCCCTCCGTGCACCCACTGTTGGAAAAAAATGAACAATTTGATGAACAGTTGAGTGGTCGTTTTAGTAGAATTATATTAAGATCGATATAGGGAGAAAGAATCATGTAATCTCAAATTTCGCTGGAAATTCTAATGAAATTCCAAATTCTTGAGTAGTAGGAAGAGAAGCATTTCGCTGTCAATCAAATCGTGAATATTTAGTACCAAATGTTACAGCATTTTCAATTGACTGAAAATTAGAAAATACATGGAAAAAAAGCTGCAAAAAAATTACCAAATAAATGAGTGATTTTTTCCTCACTGACTTCGGAAAAATTCCTGAACGTGAAGGGTTCCATGATAGTTCGTCCTATCCACTTCCATCTCGGGCCATTTCATCCCAGGGCATTTCATCCTAAGACATTTCATCCCAGACATTTTACCGCCACTAGTTCATCCTACACATGTACAAACCACAAAGCTACCAGATTCAGATAGGGCCGAATAAAAATGAAGGGCAATAAACGGATTATCCTCATCACTTAACGCCCAACACAAATACAATATATTAATACTCATACACATCATTTACCGATACACAGGCCTTATCATACAATTTACTCCGATGCCTCAGTACACATTCCAACTCCGAGCCCAAACGACACCATTTAAGAATCAAATGTAATAAAATAAATTGAACATGGTGTTGAAATTTGGCACAACTCAAAGAGGACAAAAAACACTGATCGTTGATGCATATACATTTTATAAACACAGTGATGGTTCAGGAAAAGTGATATGGAAGTGCAGTCACTATCAAAAAGGATGCAAATCACGCTGCCACACGACAACAGAGACAACCCAAGGTAAACAAACGATGATAAAGCAAGAAGAAAAAAACAATATTCATTTTTTGTTCCAATATCCACTAGGAGAAATTTTACAACAGGATGACCATGAGCAGCACGCACCAGATTTGACTGGGATTAAAGTTTCTAAAGTAATCAACAAAATGAAGAAGAGGAGTCGCAGAAGTACAGAAAAAACATTGAATATTGTGGGACACGCCATAGCTAACCTAGAATCACCAACTGCAGCTCGACCACCCAATCGACAAGCTTTAAAGAAAATCGTCAATTGTACTCGTGGTGGGGACACTAAACCACCACCAGATCCTACAACAAAAACTGTCGAAATACCACAATCGTACCAGGTTACCCTGCGCGATAAGCGATTCCTGTTACGTGATATCCAGTCCAAAACATGGATATTAATCTTCACCCCAACAAATGATCTGGAAGTGTTGACCTCACAATGTTCTTGGGCAAGTGATGGTACATTTAGTGCCGTTCCACAAGCATTTACACAATTATATACTATTCATGCTTCAATTGGAAACAAAACACTCCCCTTAGTCTATGCTCGGCTGCCAAACAAACGCAAGACTACTTACATAAAATTGCTGAAGGCTCTACAAGAATTGATTCCCAACTTGGACCCCCAAAGAATGATAACAGATTTCGAAATAGGATTTATTAATGCCTTCAAGGAGGAATTTCCAAATGCACAGATTCGCGGATGCTACTTTCATCACACAAAATGCATCTGGAAAAAAATAAAAACATTGGGTTTAAAGATACGCTACTCCACAGACATTATCTTCCAGACGGCAATAAAAATGCTGTGTGCAATCGCTTTAGTTCCTACAGAGTATGTCACAGCTGCCTTCGATGCATTAGTGGCTTCGAAATATTTCCATGTCTATATGCGGTCCTTTTTCGTCATTTTTTTTCAAAATTTTCTTACAAGGGATCAATCGAATTTACTTGATTAAATGAATTTAAATTAAAGTCAAAAGGACATCCAAACAGATTTTTTAAGCCATCATTCAATCAATTCAGTACACTTTTTTAGTTATCGTGGGACAAACGATTCTCGAAAAAATTCAAAAATTAAAGAACCAATCAATGAATAAAATTTTAATTAACGTCGATTAATAGGGCCCAACAAAATCTACATATGAAAACAAAAAAATTCAATTCAATCCATTCATTAGCGAATAGTTGAAGAATAACATTGTTACATACACACACATACACACATGGATAAGGTCTAAAAATTGTATTTTCGGACTTTGTGGGTTATACTAGATCGATATAACATAAAATCCAAAACTGGAATTTTAACGATTACAAAGCTCCCATTCAAAAATAACAATTATCTACTTCTTGAGTAACCAATACCTTGGAATTTCAATTGGACTTCAATGTCACAAAATTTTCCAAAAAGTTCAGAAGAAATTTCAGTCAAAAATATTCAACAATGCATATGAGGTATTCCATGCCGAATGAGTAAACGACTGACCTTCACCCGCTTGAAAATCGATGGCGATTTTTTCTACGATTGGGGGGCTTGAAAAACTATTCCTTAAATTTTTTCAGATTTTTTCGACAGCTCAGTTCGGAGATATGATTTTTTAAAATTTTATCCGTTTTTTTTCATTAACTCGAATTCTACTCATCCGATTTAACTTTATTAGGGGTCAAAATTTTCCATTTTCTAGCACTTATAAGAATATTTTTAGCAAAGATTTTTTTTAATTTCTAGATGCTCAAAATAACGAATTTTCAAAAAAAAAGTTGACAAAGTTGAATTTTGCAAATTACGTCAGGATTGATTTTTTTCATATTTTTTCCATTAATTCTTATAATCAAACCGAGTATTTTGAGCCATCATACATGTTGGGTTTTGTTCGGGATCTATTTTATTTTCAATTTTTTCTCGGAATTCCGCAAATTTGGTGAAAACATCCCAAAACGACTTTGATTATGTATCGAAAAAATATGTAATATATAGATATACATTTAAATTAACTTCATACTGTTTGTAATCAAAGTCAATCAACGCGCTTTTGGGGTATTTCGAGCGAATTCGCGGAGTTTCGAAAAGAAAAAATTAAAAGTAAAATAGATCCGGGACGAAACCCAACATGTATGACGGCTCAAAATACTCGGTTTTATTATAAGAATTACTGGCCGATGGCCGTGCCTGTGGTTAGAGTACGGGATTGGCACGTGAGCGACCCCAGTTCGATACCCGGCTGGGGAGCCAAAATTTGTAACACTCTAATCTCACAGTTTCACTGTCGAGCGGAAGTCTCGTTAAAGGGACGACTGTACCTGAGCAGGTTTTTCCCTCAAGTGAGGTTTTCCCTCGTTCTTCGGCGAATGCGGTACAGGGGGCTGGGGGGGTGGGAAGGGAACAAATCGTAAAAACCCGAAAGGGTATATGAGAGAAAATAATTTTTATAAGAATTACTGGAAAATTTTTTTTTTAATCAATCGTGACGTAACCAGCACAATTCAACTTTTTTAACTTTATTTTTTTCGAAAATTTGTTATTTTGAGCATTTAGAAATTGGAAAAAAAAATTTACTAAAATTATTCTTATAGGTGGTAAAAAATGGAAAATTTTAACCCTTAATAAATCGGAATCGAACGAATAGAACTCGAGTTATTGAATAAAAACCGATAAAATTAAAAAAAATCATGTCTCCGAACTGGGCTGCCGAAAAAATCTGAAAAAATTTGAGAGATAGTTTTTCAAGCCCTCTAATCGTAGAAAAAATCGCCATCAATTTCCAAGAGGGTCAGGGTCAGCCGTTCACTCATTTGGCATGCAAGACCTCATATAAACCCTGTAAAGAATCTCCTGGATCGAAAAGTCCCATATGACTCAATTAGAAAGTTCTCAGGTTGGTCTGACTGGTATCACGATCTTCCGATCAATGGGGCGAGGTTGAATGATCTTCGAGAATGCTCGATGGAAGAAGATGAAGCCCAAGTGGAGAAGACGTTTCTCGTTGTGCGGCGTACGGCCTACTTGCGCATCCGAAACAAGCTCCAATCTTTCCTCACATGTCCCCACCTCATCAGGTATTCAGTGGCTTTTGTACCCATGATGTAGACAAAACTAATACCACGAAATGCCGGAATGGCAAGTGAGGTCATTGGTTGCGCATGGAGGACAGGTGACGCCGTAGGTGTACATGCGCGGGGAATGAATTTCCCGGTTATTTGAAGAAAACACGCGCCCATCTTCACGAGACAAATCGGGTGGGAAAAGAGAAAGCGGGTCAAAGAGCCGGCCACGACGACAGCCAGAGCATCAGCCTCTGTTGGATTACTCGTCTCTCATTTTTATAGCTTCAGTTGTCTCTAATAAATGAATTTTCGCTGCGAAAATGATGACAGGTGATGAGGTGGATGTTTTTAGAAATTAACATTTCAGTAAAGAGTAGGGAAGCGGGTGCATATACTACCCACTTAAGGGGAGACTACTATGAATTTTAAAAGTCGTGGGTCATTGGAGTGAGACTTTTCATACGTTGACGATCGATTATATAGATCTGAAAACGAATAATTAGTGCAAAAAAAATTTTTTTTTATTGTTCGTTTGCCCGAAAACGCTTAAAATGCGACGAAAAGGGAAATGCGTTTTTTCTTCAGCCTCGGACCCTATAAGGAGTCATAAATGGGTAGAATAGTCTCTTTGGAGTGTTTACACTGGAAGATTTGAAGAGCACAGACTTTTTATTAATATTAAGCATATTTAATTCAGTACCGAAGTGATCAAGCGGTTTAGGGCAATTTAGTCTTTAGTTGAGTTTTCCAGAAATATTTCCGAATTTAATGGAGATAGCAAAATTTTCATAATAACGTTTTTTTTTGTAGAGTGAATTGAGTGCAACTAAAAAGGTTATGAGAAAAATTTTGCTACCTCCCTTAGATTTCGAGATATTCATTGTAAACTGGCCAATCGCCAAAATCGACATAAACCCTTCGATCACTTTGCTACTGAATTATGTAATTCAATTACCATCGGCCAGTGAGCGATGGAATCGAACTTTGAGGGTGATACCAGCTGGCACGCGTCCAATACCGCCTGCTTTGTTTTGATGACTTTTTTAGCAACAAATACACTACTCAATTATATTCACTTCATGTAACCGAAGCCTCATATAATTCCCTGTAAAATTATTGTATTTACCCAAAGGACATGAATTTTTTAAGAGAACAATTATTACCGCAGAAATTATTATGTTTTAACAGAAACTTTCGTTTGTGTCTACAACTAAATTAATTCAACACAATAAAAGATCGCTTCCGTGGAACGTATAATTCTCGGTAGGACTGATTTTTTCTCTAAGTAGAGGTCGTTAGTTTCCAAATCTCTTTATATTATGAAAATCCAAATCGATTTCTGGTGATAAAAATTTGGTACTTGAAATTATCCGAGTGGAAATTGCTTCAGGCCCACCTGAAACATGATCAGAACTTGATCAGGTTTTTGTAAGGTTCGACTGATCCGGTGATGCCTGATGAGAACCTGACCAAGTTTTGATCCAGTAGATCGGATCCGAAAAACTGCACGATGATTCAGATCAAGTTCTGATCAGGTAGGCACGATCTCACCCTGCAGTCGGCCGCCTGACCCCAATTTGATCAAATTCAGATTTGATGTCTTTGATCGGCATTTGAACGAGATCAATTGAAGAGAAAATGATTAGATTCAGATCCGGTCCATCTGAAATTAATTTTAATAAGTTTTTCAGATAATTTAATTAATTATTATTATACTATTCAAATTAAGTTTTATCAACCATTATCAATAATTATTTTAAATCTTCAAAAAGGATCATTATACTATAATTATAATAAATTAATTTAATTTAATGAATTTAATTAAATTAATCAATTTAATTAACAGCCAGCCCTTTTTAAATGTACAGAAGGGAGGGATGATGATATCATAAATACGTATTAGAGGAGTATCAAACTTACACGCAAATGATCTTGAGAAAAAAAATCACCAAATGTCTATTTATTTACTAGAGTAATTGTTATTATCATTATTATTATTCATTAATGAAATGAATAAAAATTTAATTGAACATATTTTATCTCTGAGAATACACACGCACATCTACGAGATCAGGAATAATCGTAAATTCAACGAATACCCCGATACAAATCATATAGGCAATGTACAGTTTACTCAATAGTAATAGCGTGATAGC